AGCTGTTGCTGCAGCAGAGTTTGCTGCTGCACAGACTGCTCCTGCAGCGGCTGCTGCTGCTGCTGCTGCTCTGGTTGCTGCAGTTGCTGCTGCTGCGGTTGCTCCTGCAGCAGTTCAGTTGTTGCTTGCTGCTGCTCGTCTGGCTGCTGTTGCTGCTGCAGCTGTTGCTGCTGCAGCTGTAATGTATCATGGGTCGGCAGCAACAGTTGCTGCTGCTGCTGCTGTTCTAGAGGCTGCTGCTGCAGCGGCAATGCATCTTGCTGCAGCTGCTGCTGCTGCAGCTCTTGCTGCTGCGTGTCTTGCTGCTGTGGGTCCTCGTGCTTGTGGTTGTCGTCTTGCTGCTCCTCTTGCTGCTGCTGCTGCTGCTGCTGCTGCTGCTGCTGCTGCTGCAGCTGCTCCAGCGGTATCTCGGGTAAGGCCTGCAGCAGCAGATCCTGCTGCATGGGGGCTTCCTCTTGTGCCTGCTGCAGCTGCTGCTCCAGCTGCTGCTGCTGCTGCAGCTGCTGCTCTATCTGCTGCTCTATCTGCTGCTGCTGCTGCAGCTGCTGATCTTGCTGCTGCTGCTGCTGCTGCTGCTGCTCGAGCTGCTGCTCTCCTTGCTGCTGCTGCTCTAGCTGCTGTTCTAGCTGCTGCTGCTGCTCTTCTTGCTGCTGCTGCTGCATCTCTACTTGCATTTGCTGCTCAGATTGCTGCTGCTCTTCTTGCTGCTGCTGCTCTTGCTGCTCCTGCTGCTCCTGCTGTCCTTGCTGCTGCTCCTGCTGCTGCTCTTGCTGCTCCTGCTGCTGTTGCTGCAGGTATTCTTGCTGCTCCTGCTGCTGCTGGGGCTGGGGATATGCTGGTAGCAGAGTTGCTGCTGTTGCTGCTGTTGCTGCTGCAGCAGGTGCAGCAGCAGCATCTGCAGCTAAATTAGATATCTCTGGCTGCTCCTCTTGCGGTTGCTGCTGCTGTTCTTCCTGCTGCTGCTGCGGTTCTTCCTGCTGCTGCAGCTGCTGCTGCTGCTGCAGCTGCGGCAGTTGCAGCTGAAGTGGAGGCAGCTGCTGCCAGAGCTGGTGCACCTGCAGCGGCTGCTGCTGTGGCTGCTGCTGCTCTTGTTGCTGCTGCAGCTGCTGCTGCTGCTGCTGCTGCTGCTGGTGTGCGTCTACCTGCTGTACCTGCTGCAGTGGAGGCCCAAAGAAAAGTGGGGTGGCAGCAGTTGCTGCTGCTGCATTCGGTGCTGCTGCTGCAGTTGCTGCTGCTGCATTCGGTGCTGCTGCAGTTGTTGCTGCTGCTGTTGTTGCTGCTGCAGCAGGCTGCTGCATAGGCATTTCATCTGCAGCAGGTCTTAGCAGCAGCTGCTCCAGGAGCTGCTGCTGATGGGGGTCTAGCTGCTCCGTCTCCTGCTGCTGCTGCTGCTGCTGCTGCTGCTGCGGCAGCTGCAGCAGCGGTGTCTCAGCAGCAGCAAACCCGGTCAGGAATGGCGGTGGTTTCTCTGTCTTTCTAGCTGTGTCTGCTGCATCTATAGCACCAACGATAAACCCCAGAGGAGTTTTGCTGCTGCTGCTGCTGCTGCTGCTGCTGCTGCTGCCGAAGACAGACTGCAGCAGCGGCAGCTTTAGGGATCTTCCTGCTGCTCCTGGTCTGGTCAAAGCAGCAGCTGCTGCTTCACTCTGCTCCTGCTGCTGCTGCTGCTGCTGCTGCTGCTGCTGCTGCGGGGGGGGGGAACGGAGAAAGAGAGGACCTGCTTGCAGAGAACCCAAGAGGGCTCCCGCCGGGCCTGCA